ACGTCTTCCAGGACTCCCCAAATCTAAAGTAGCTCCCTATCGGGAACTTCCTGGCGGTCCAGTGGTTAGGACTCCGTGCTTTCACTGCCCAGGGCCCGGATTCGATCCCTGTTTGGGGAACTAAGATCCCATAAGTCGCATGGCGCGGCCAAAAATAACTTAAAAAAAAAAAAGCAGCTCCTGATCAGCCTCTCTCTCAGCACCCTATTTAATGGTCTTCAGCACAGGTAGGACCATCTGAAGCTGTCCCGTTAGTACATTTCCTGACCGGTTCACTCTCTGCCTCCCCTGCTGGAACGTAAGCGCCATGAGGGCGGGGAATCCGTCTTGCTCACTGTATCCCCAGCACCTAGATCAGTGCCTGGCACATGGTAGGCTCTCAATAAGTATTTGTTGGAAGAGTAAGTAAATGTGGTTTCAGGTGGTCTTGTCTGATAACGCTGTTTCATGCAGCCATTCAAGAAAGCCTGGTAGGGCTTCCCTGGTGGCGCAGTGGTTGAGAGTCCGCCTGCCGATGCAGGGGACACGGGTTCGTGCCCCGGTCCGGGAAGATCCCACATGCCGCGGAGCGGCTGGACCCGTGAGCCATGGCCACTGAGCCTGCGCGTAATACTTAACTGAACTAAGTAGACACGCACTCTGTGGGCTGTTTGCCCCCGCAGAAGCATCTCCTCTCTTCTCTAGCCTGAGGCTCCAGGAGGCTGAGCTCTGTGGGGGATCTCAACAAGCTCCCTTGTCCTCTAGCTTCCGGCTGGGCTCAGCCAATGGGAAGCACCTGCAGGCGCAGGGATGGTGGGAGGAGAGAGAGGTGAGGGCATTCACTCCCTGCTCTGTCCCTGCCAGGCTTTGTTTCACTAGTTGCTGTGTGCTCCTCTTCTGAAGGCCACATGCCTGTATGACCCTCCCCCCGCCCCTCTGCTGCCCGCCCCAGGATGCTTCTCCATGCGTCTCCATCCCGCATCTCTGTTCCGTCTGTAAAATGTCCCTTCTTTAAATCTTTTCAGTCACTCCTTTTGCGTGAGCCTTTGTTGATAAGCAAGAACCCTGGATGATAGGCCCCACGGCCCTGCAATATCACTCCTGGGTATATATCCCTGGGAAATTCACACTCAGGTCCAGGAGAGGACATGAAGAAGCATGGAGATATTCACTGCAGCACTGTCCACAGTGGGGGAGGCAAACTGCGATCCCATCGCTGGGGTCAGAAACAAGTTGGATGTCTACGCTGCTATATGGACAGCTCTTAAAAACTGCTTAATGTCCATCCACAGATGAATGGATAAATGGAATGTGGTCTATACATACCATGGAATATCACTGGGCCTTAAAGATGAAAGAAATTCTGACACATGGTACAACATGGATGAACCTGAAGACATTATGCTAATCACATGAGCCAGTCATGAAAGGACAAATACTGCATGTCTCCACGTATATGAGGTCCCAAGGGTAGCCAGATTCATAGAGACCGAAAATAGAGTGGTGGGTGCCAGGGGCTGGAGGAGGGGAACAGAAGAGTTAATGGTTAATGGGGACAGAGTTTCGGGACAGGAGGACGAAACAGTTCTGGAAATGGGTAGTGGTGGTGGGTGCACAGGCTCTTAACGCATTTAATGTGACTGAACTGTACACTTAAAAGTGATTAAAACGGCCTCACAGACAGAGAAAACAATCTTCTGGTGAGCAAAGGGGAAGTGGCAGGGAGGGATAAATTAGGAGTTTGGGATTAATAGATACAAACTACTGTATATAAAATAGATAAACAACAAGGACCTACTGTTCAGCACAGGGAACTATATTCAATATCTTGTAATAACCCATAATGGAAAATAATCTGAAAAAGAATATATATATATATGTATAACTGAATCATTTTGCTGTATACCCGAAACTAATACAACATTATAAATCAACTGTACTACAATTTCTTTATTATTATTATTTTTTTTTTTTTTGGCTGCGCCACACGGCATACAGGATCTTAGTTCCCCGACCAGGGATCAAACCCGCAGCCCCTGCATTGGAAGTGTGGAGTCTTAACCACTGGACCACCAGGGAAGTCCAACTATACTTCAATTTTTAAAAAAATAATTAAGGGCTCCCCTGGTGGCACAGTGGTTGTGAGTCCGCCTGCCGATGCAGGGGACGCAGGTTCGTGCCCCGGTCCGGGAGGATTCCACATGCTGCGGAGCAGCTGGGCCTGTGAGCCATGGCCGCTGGGCCTGTGCGTCCGGAGCCTGTGCTCCGCAACGGGAGAGGCCACAACGGTGAGGGGCCCGCGTACCGCAAAAAAAAAAAAAATTAAAATGGTAAATTTTATGTTAGGTATGATTAAAATAAAAAATACTAAAAAAAAAAGATCATTCAAACGCAGTTCTCAAAGCCCAAGGCATCTGACCATATATCGGCTAAAGCTATGCTGTCCAATACAGTGGCCACATGCCTTTTGAGCCCTTGAAACATAACGAGTCTTTTTTTTTCTAAATTAATTAATTAATTTTATTTATTTTTGGCTGCGTTGGGTCTTCATTGCTGTGCACGGGCTTTCTCTAGTTGCGGTGAGCGGGGGCTACTCTCTGTTGCGGTGCACAGGCTTCTCATTGCGGTGGCTTCTCTTGTTGTGGAGCACGGGCTCTAGGGCGCGCGGGCTTCAGTAGTTGTGGCGCACGGGCTTAGCTGCTCCGTGGCATATGGGATCTTCCCAGACCAGGGCTCGAACCCGTGCCCCCCGCATTGGCAGGCGGATTCTTAACCACTGTGCCACCAGAGAAGCCCCATAATGAGTCTTTAACTGAAATGTGCCGTCAGTGTAAAATACACATCAGATTTCAAGGGCTTACTATTTAAAAAAAAAAAAGTAAAATATCTCATTAATAATGTTTTATAGTGATCACACGTTGAAATGATAATATTTTGGATGTGTTGGGTTAGTAAAATATATTATTAAAATTTAAAAAAGAGTTCCTGAGGGAATTCCCTGGCAGTCCAGTGGTTAGGACTCTGCGCTTCCACTGCAAGGGACACGGGTTCCATCCCTGGTCGGGGTACTAAGATCCCACATGCCACGGTGCAGCCAAAAATTTTTTAAAATATATATTTCTTTTTCTAAAAAAAAAGAGTGCCTGATAAAAAAGAAAACAACAACAACAGTGTTTAGTGAAGAAAAAAAAAACAATACGAGGAAACAGAATGAAGTGTTAAACAGAATATCAGTTACTATTGAAAATACATCCACAAAAGACAATATACAATTTTTAGAACATGGTAAATAAATACCCATAGGAGGCTGGCTGAGGGGGAGGGGAGCTGGGAAGCAGAATGGGAATGGGGGATGGGGATAAAGAGGGAACAAATAAAACCAAGAAGGAAGGGGTCTTATGCTCACAGCGAGGTGCATTGTGCCATGAGCTGAGACTCACTAATGCAACCCTATGTTCCTGAGATCCAAAAAGAGAAAAATAAAAATAAAATTTTCTCCTCTCTCTTGAAACAAAGGCATCTTAATTAAACCTGTCCTGGAAGGTAACTCAGAATCTCTGATCCCTCAAAATTATTTCCCTGTGAAGGTAGTCCACGAAGTCCTTGCAAAATAGGTCACTGCAGCACCCCCAGCTTGAGCACCACACCTGGTGCACAATATAGACTCAGTGAGGGTTTGTTGACTGACTAATGACCGAATGAATGGAAGAAAACGAGGTCCCCTCAGCCCTCCCTGAGAGGCAGGAATAATGGAGCAAGAGCCAGATGGTGGCCTAAGACCTGATACAGCCTGCGATGGTGGGTCGTTTGGATCGTACAGTCTTTATTTTTAATCTTAAATTATTTGCCAGCATTTGGAAATCAGATTCCATGAACAAATCTGGCTTCTCGGCTTCACTCAAGAAGTGGAAGCTCTGGTAACATGTTATTCCTAGGCCACACAGAACTGAGGGGCAACTGTCCCCTACCCCACCCCACAGCCCCATCACTCATCCACATTAAGTGCTTGGCCCCCCGTAGGCTTTCTAGTTTGATCGAGGCTGTTTCTCACTTTCGATCCAAAAGACCAGGAGCTGATAAACTGTCACCAGGCAGGACATTCTCAAAGCAACCAAGGCAAACCAGCTGCTCCCTTCAGCCTGGGGTGGAGGAAAGGTGTGCCTAATTGTACTGACATCTGTAGACAGAAAAGGCACATCTCAAGGTGTGGTCCAAGGGTTCCCCACATCAGAACTGTCTGGGAATTCAGTAAAAATCCAGATTTCTGGGCCTCATCCTAGAACCAATGACTTGATATCTGAGAATCTGAATTTTAACTAGTGTCCCACACTCTATGGTTTGAGGCACAGCAACCAAAGAAACAAGGGATTAACAATGGTGCGTGAACACGAGGGGGGTATTCAGAGGACACTGCATTATGGGTCCCAGCGTTGGGAGAACCAGGGTCCTCCAAAGTTGGTGATGAACTAGCCCCCTTAAACTCCAATCATTATTGTTACTGTGTTTTTCTTGTGGTTGTAATATTATTATTATTTGTTTATTGTTATTATATCATAGGGAGGCAGTAGAGTGCAGAATCTGGATTTCCTTGGGTTCAAATCCTGACTTCACTGTTTACTATCTGTGTGACCTTGGGTACGTAACTTTACTTCTTGGTCTTTACTTCCCCATCTGTAAGCTGGGGATTGTAATAGTTCCTACCTCATAGGGTCACTGTGAAGAGTCAATGAATTAATATATGTTAAGTGCTTATGCTACTGCCTGGCAGATATTATAATACACCGGCAATGAGTTTTCATATCAGCTGCAAGACCACCACCAGGAGAGCAGGACCTCCCCCTCTCACCCCCACTCCTTCCTTTAGTGATTATTTAGCGGCAACAGGGGGCAGCCAGGTGACTTACAGCTTCCTTATGATTGTCTCCTCCTTGTTACTGCTGGCATTGCTGGCCCTGGTAACCAGAGCATCTTTTTCTCTTCTTCCTCCTGGGCCTTCTCTTGCTGGGATCAGGCCACTAGGAAAAAGGAGACAAATAAGTGGGTTGTTTTATTGCAGATCTCTTATCTGTGCAGCTCTGAAAGTGAAGGTGCTTAATAATTATTATTATATTAATAATATTATCATGGAAATGCTACAGTTAGACATTCTGACTCAGATGATTAGAATCTTCCTTCCGCCTTTCCACTGTTGGCGCCTCTTCTTTCTTTCCCTTGGCTAATTCCATTGGCTGGTACTTTAAGCTTCTCCAATTGCTAGAAATATAACCATGTATAAATTCTCTAACTTAACCTTTGGTTTCCTAATTAGTAAAATAAGGATAATGAAAGTACCTAATTCCTAGGATTGAGGGATTAAGCGAGATAATAAATGGAATTCATTCATTCGTTCAGCAAATATTATTAAGCTACAAATTGTACCAATGTATATAGATATAGCAATTAACAAAATAGATAAAATACCTTCTCTCATGCAATTTATATCCCATTGGGAAAGGAAACAGTCAAGAAGCAAATAAATAAGTAAAATTTAAAAATATATAGTAAGTCAGATGGTGATAAGACCTAGATTGATATCGATCAATAAGATATTTAGGTCAGGTGACCCAAAGAGGGCCAGAGTACTTCCCTGGATTTGATGTACAGAAGTTGGAAGAAGGCTATTCTCTCTCACTTGCTGATTGCCAGCAGCCATGCTTCCTAAGATTCAGAGAAGGACTGTCTTTAATACAAAATAATAAGGCCAAAAAAGAGAAGCAAAGAGGAAAGAAAGAGGCACACAGTCCCTGATTCCAACACTGAGGCCTTAGTTGCAGTTTTTTCTTTATTTCTGAGACCAGTTCCAGGATCCTTCCCAGCTATGTGACCGATAAAACTCCCTTTTGTGCTTAAGCTAGTTTGAATTGGATCTCTGTCACCTGCAACCAAAAGAAGCCTGACCACAGTGAAGCATTTAAATGTCTGACCCAGGGGCTTCCTTGGTGGTCCAGTGGTTAAGGATCCGCCTTCCATGGGACTTCCCTGGTGGCGGAGTGGTTAAGAATCTGCCTGCCAATGCAGGGAACACGGGTTCGAGCCCTGGTCCGGGAAGATCCCACATGCCGTGGATCAACCAAGCCCCTGCACCACAACCACTGAGCCTGCACTCTGGAGCCCGCAAGCCACAACTACTGAGCCCCCGTGCCACAGTTACTGAAGCTCAGGCACCTGGAGCCCGTGCTCCACAAGAGAAGCCACTGCAATGAGAAGCCTGTGCACTGCAATGAAGAGTAGCCCCTGCTTGCCGCAACTAGAGAAAGCCCGCGTGCAGCAACGAAGACCCAACACAGCCATAGATAAATAAATAAATAAATAATTTTTTAAATATTAAAAAATTAAAAAATAGTCTGCCTTCCAATGCAGGGGATGCAGGTTCGATCCCTGGTCAGGGAACTAAGATCCCACATGCCGTGGGGCAACTAAGCCAGGGCGCCACAACTAGAGAGCCCACGTGCTGCAACTAAGACCTGATGCAGCCACATAAATAAATAAATAAATATTTAAAAAAAAAAAAAGTCTGACCCAGTAAGCTCATTAGATCCACTTAGGTATTTCGTTCAGGTACCTACTGGTAAATTTATGTCCATGCTATAGGCATCAATTTTCCCCTTACTACAGACTGAATTCTTATGTTGAAGCCCTAACCCTTAATGTTATGGTATTTGAAGATGGGACCTTTGGAAGACAATTAGGTTTACATGAGGTCATGAGGGTGGGCCCTCATGATGGGATTAGTGCCCTTGTAAGAAGAGACACCAGACGGCTTGCTCTCTCATTCTCCCCACCATTTGAGGACACAGCAAGAAGGCAGCTGTCTACAAGCCAGGAAGAGCCAGAACCAACCATACTGGCACCTTGACCTTGGACTTCTAGCCTCCAGAACTGTGAGAAAAAAAATTTCTATTGTTTAAGCCACCCAGTCTCTGGTGTTTTGTTATGGCAGCTTGAGCTGACTGAGATACCCCTTTAGGTATGAACGTCAGATAGCAGAATTTACCCCTCTCTCTCTTTCTTTGCAAAGAGTGGGCTCTTATTACTTAATATTATTTCTATTTTTATTATATATATTTATTATAATAATATTCATATGAGAATCATCTAAAAATTACCTTTTCCCACTATCTACCATTACATAACATCCTAAAACTTAGTGATTTAAAACTATGATGATTTATGACTTCTCATGATGGCTCTGTTTCTTATGGTTCATTTGGTGGTTCTCCTGATGGTCTAGTTTGGGGTTCTCAACTGGCTGCATTCAGTTGGTGGATCAGCTGGGGGCTGGATGCAGCTGGGGCTGTCATATGGGGCACCTTGGTTCTTCTTCATGTGACCTCTCCATGTGACTACCTTGAGCTTCCTCATAGCATGGTGGTCTCAAGGCAGTAATCTGAGAGCACAAACGTGGAAGCTGCTAGACCTTTTAGAGCCTTAACCTAGGAAGCCAAACAGCATCACTTCCACCACATTCGATTGGTCAGAGCAAGTCATAGGGCCGTCCAGATTCAAGGGGACGGAAAATAGACTCTACCTCTACTCCGATGAGAGGAGTGGAAAAATCTCATTGGAAAAGGAATGCAGGTGGACTTCCCTTGTGGCACAGTGGTTAAGAATCCGCCTGCCAATGTAGGGAACATGGGTTCGAGCCCTGGTCCAGGAAGATCCCACATGCCGCGGAGCTACTAAGCCTGTGCACCACAACTATTGAGCCAGCGCTCTAGAGCTTGTGTGCCACAGCCGCTGAGCCCGTGTGCCGCAACTACTGAAGCCCGCGCGCCTAGAGCCCGTGCTCCGCAACAAGAGAAGCCACCGCGATGAGAAGCCCGCGCACCGCAATGAAGAGTAGCCCCAGCTCGCTGCAACTAGAGAAAGCCCACGTGCAGCAACGAAGACCCAATGCAGCCAAAAATAAAATTAAATAAATAAATAAATAAATAAATTTTAAAAAAAGGAATGCAGGATGGGAAAAACTGTTGTGACCATCTTTGGAAACAGTCGAGCATATCTGCTTTCAGTTAAAACTATCATTAGTATGAGCTTCGGCCTCCAAATTGATGCAGTTGCTAAGAGAACACCTCAGTTGACATGCTGGTTTCTCCAGAGTATATAACACAGGAGACTAAACAGAATCCTGCTGTCTGTCTATTGGCCTGTACCAGATGGGAAGTGCACATCTGTTGTTCTCTGGGAATTCAAAACTGGAACTAACGTGTGTTGCTTTATTCACTAGCAAGCTGCTCATGGCATCAGCAGTCTAAGAGTTCCTCTTTTTAATTAACCGTGTCTGGGGTACTTATTAAATGAGATGAAGACAGGTCTTTCCATTAACAGCGTTCCAACTTCAGCAGAAGGAAGACAATTAAATTCCTGTTGGCAGAACTCAGCTCTTTTGGATTTAGCTTCCTAGGACATTTTTACTTTGATGCTCTCTTAATGATGCCACATTGAATGAATTTAAGGAATAATATCATTGGGGCTTTGTTTTGTTTTGAATTAGAGTATTTCCTTACTTCCAAACTTTCCGAGTCCAAATGTGGCATGATAATTAAAAGCTCAGGCTCTAATGTCAGGCTGTCTGACGCCATGTCTCAAGGTTGCCATCACCAGCCCTGGGACTTCAAGCAGGTACTTGACCTCTCTGACCCTTAGATCATCTTGGGGATAACATTACCCTAACTCATAGGCTTGCTGTGAACACTAATTGAAATGATGCTCGGGATACACTTAGCACATGGTAAGCATTGATAAATATTAGTTGGCACTACATTTTGTTTGTTTTGGTTTTTACTTTTTGGCGGCACCCTGAGGTATGTGGGATCTTAGTTCCCCCACCAGGGATCGAACCTGCGCCCCCTGCATTGGGAGCTCGAAGTCGTAACCACTGGACCACCAGGGAAGTCCTGGCACCATGTTTTTATTCTCTTGATCTTTCCTTCTCCTGCCTCTAAGGAAACCTGCTTTGTTTAACTCAGTGTTTCCCAGAATTATTCAACCACAGAGCTCCTTTTTGCCACGCTGTGTGGCTTGTGGGAACTCAGTTCCCCGACCAGGGATTGAACCCGGGCCACAGCAGTGAAAGCGCCGAATCCTAGCCACTGGACCACCAGGGAACTCCCTAGAGCTCCCTTTTCAAGAAATACCTACATAAAGTAAACCATTTGGGGAAACATGGTGCAGAAGGATAAAGCGAAGTCCAAACCTGCTATGTCAACAGCTTCCTTATTTCCTCTCTTGCTTGTCCTACAGTTCCTCCTCTATCCAGTATTATTGTGATCTTTTCTAACTTGTAATTTTTATACAATTTCAAACTTAGAGAAAAGGTGTAATACTAGTACAAAAACTTCCCATGTATCTAGCCAGATCCCTCAAATGCTTATCCGTGTATCTATCTACCTACCCATCCATCCATCCATCCACCTATCCACCTACCCATCCACCCATGCAACCATCTTCTCCCTGAACCACTTGAGAGTAAACTGGAGACAAGAATCTTACCCCCTCACTCCTAAATGCTTAAGTGTCTTTCCAAAGAACAAGGACATTCTCTCACATAACCAAGTCATTCAGTTATCAAAATCACCACATTGATCTTTTAAAATAGTAAATCAGACTGTGTCATTCCCTTAAGATTTCCCAAAATCTTCTCATTACGCTTACAATAAAACTAGAGCTCCTGGGCTTCCCTGGTGGCGCAGTGGTTAAGAATCTGCCTGCCAATGCAAGGGACATAGGTTTGAACCCTGGCCTGGGAAGATCCCATATCCGTGGAGCAACTAAGCCCATGCGCCACAACTACTGAGCCTGAGCTCTAGAGACCGCAAGCCACAACTACTGAAGCCCGCGTGCCTAGAGCCCGTGCTCCGCGACGAGAAGCCACAACAATGAGAAGCCCACGCACTGCAACGAAGACCCAACACAGCCAAAAATAAATAAATAAATAAATTTATTTTTTAAAAAAGCCCAAAACTAGAGCTCCTTCCTGTGTCCAAAAAGGCCACCCCCTCGGTCTCTTCTGGACCTTCCTCTACCTCACATTCCAAGTTCCACCATGGTGGGCCTCTTAAATTGGCCAAATGGGTTCCTACCTCAGGGCCTTTGTACTTCTTGTTCTACTTTTATGCAACCAAATCTTGACATGGTTGGCTTCTTCTTGTCATTCACCTCAGGGGGGTCTTCCCTGACCACCCAGTCTAAAGCAGGGCCCCCCCAGCACTCTGCTCTCTGTCATGTCACCTTGATCTACATTCTCTTCAGCACTCACCACCATTATCCTGTGTGTTCATTGCAGGCCTTCTGGCTGATTGCCTGTCTTCCCCCTAGACTAGCACGGGCTTTCTGTTTTGTTCCTACTCTACCCCCAGTGCCAGGAATAGTGTCTGGCATACAGTGGGTCTTCAATCAGTAGATTGGATGAACATAAGAACAGATATGTAATACATCAAGGAATTCTAGGCAGTGTCTTGCTCTGCGGTGTAGGAGCCCCAGGCAGCACAGCCCACCTCTTATAGCACTGCAGCTCTTCCTGCACCACCAGCAGCTGCGACTTGAGTTTGTTGCGCTCCTGAAGCACGTCTCTCAGCTCCTGTAGAGTAAAGCGTGGTCGGTTGGGATCTGTCAGGTCAACCACCATTTTATCTGGTCCCAGGTTCACCTGTAAGAAAAGATATCACTTATACAGTTTCCCTCATGAGGATGGACTGTCCATCCCAGAAAGGAAAGTTCTCTTGTTCTGTTACTAGTCCCAGGGACCTGATGAGATGAGACGTTGCCTGTTGGAAGTGTTTGGTTGATGGTAAAGAGGCAAGAATTCCAAGTACCATTCTCCAAGAAAGGAGCCAGCGCTCCTTGGAGAATGGCTGAGTCCAGGGCTGGAACAGGGAAAGTCCAAGTTGAGTCTGGAACATTCCATTGTGTAAGGGATGGAGACAGATCAAAAGGACACAGTTTGAAGGCACTCCTACTGGCCAAACTGAACGACTTGAGTATCCGCGTGAATAGTAACAGGAATGGATAATAACCCATCAAATAAAAACAGGATTCAGGAATCCATACTTAAAATTTTTAATTTAGGGAATTCCCTGGTGGTCCAGTGGTTAGGACTCCAAGCTTCCACTGAGAGGGGCATGGGTTCAATCCCTGGTCGGGGAACTAAGACCCCACATGCTGAGTGGTGTGGCCAAAAAAATAAAATAAATAAAAATTTAAATTAATTAACTAATTAATGGGGATGTAATGGCTAATCTTATGTGTCAACTTGACTGGGCTAAGGGATGCCCAGACAGCTGGTTAACACATTATTTCTGGGTGTGTCTGTGAAGGTGTTTCTGGAAGAGATTAGCATTTGACTTGGTGACCTGAGTACAGCAGAGGCTCCTCCCCAGTGTGGGTGGGCTTCATCCAATCCATTGAGGGCCTGAATAGAACAAAAAGGTGGAGAGAGGGTGAATTCACTCCCTGCTTGAGCAGGACATCCTTATTCTCCTGCCCTTGGACAGTGCACATCAACCCTCCTGGTTCTTGGGCTTTTGGACCTAGACCAGGACTTATACCATCAGCTCCCTGACACAAGCCTGTTGACTTGGACTGAATTACACCACCGGCTTTCCTTATTCTACAGCTTGCAGTCAGCAGATTGTGGGTCTTCTCGGCCTCCATAACCCCGTGAGCCGATTCCTATAATAAATATTCTCATCTGTGTCTATACCTACATCTATATCACCTATTGTTTTATTTCTCTGGAGAGCTCGCACTAATACCAGAAAGGAGGAGGGGGATCTGTACTTTACAGAAGAATGCCAATTAATAAGTGTAGAAGATGATAGAGTCAGAAAATCATCCTTTTGCAACCAACGCAGTAATAATTGATTCAGGCAAGACTAATGAATGGACCTAAAACTTTTGGGTGAAAGTTTGTTGGGGAACAGGATATTTCACAGTTTCAAAGTACTTTCCCATAGGCTACTTATGCATTACAAAGGGAATAAAGACACCCTTACAGTGCAGAAATCTTGCAGACACCACCTTAACCAAGTGATAGAAGTTACCATTGCCAATAATGACAAACTGAATCAGGTGCCTCCTGATATGAGGCACCGAGAAGGACACAGCATCACTTAAGTGGTATCCCTGCTAAACATGTATAACTTGAATCTAACCATGAGGAGACATCAGAATCAGAACAAGCCCAAGCTGAAGGACATTCTACAGACTAACTGATATACAATCTTCAAAAAATGTCAAGGTCATGAAAGACAAGGAAAAGCTGAGGAACTGTTCCAGACTAAAGCTGACTAAAGAGATATGTCCTAAAGGTACCGTATAACCCTGCATTGGATCTTGCATCAGAAAAAAAAAAATGCGATAAAGGATATTATTATGAATTTTGAATAGGGATGGCATATTAGATCTTAGTATTCTACCAACTTTTCCCCCGAATTCAATTATTTATTGTGGTTATGTAACAGTATGTCTTAGGAGATACACACTGAAGTATTTAGTATTTAGGGTGAAAGATCCTAATCTTTTACTAACTCTGCAGCTAACATAATGTCTGAAGATTCTGAGCGAATAAATAATATATAGACATAAATATTTGTTAAATATGAGTACATATGTGCATATATACATGTATGTATATGTGTGTATATAATACTTCAGTGTGTATCTCTTAAGACATACTATACACACACACAAACACATACATACATACACCTGAATATAACACCTGAATTGAGGTGAAAGGTATACAAGTGTTCATTGTGCCTATCTTGCAACTCTTCCATAGGTTTGACATTTTTTCAAACTAAAGTTAAAATAAAACAAATATTTGAAAACAACCTAAATGTCCATTAGCAGAAGTCTAGTTAAACAAACTAAGGCACAACCACACTCTGGAATATTCTACAGGTGATAAAGAGAATAAACCACACTATAAAGAGAAATGCAATAGTGACCACATTCCTCCTCTCGGATTGATAAACATCAGCGTGTTTGAAAACACACTGTGTTGTAAAAGCTGTGGGGAAACCGGTTCCTTCACTGATTGCAGAGGGAGCCAATCTCTTTAACCCCTTTGGAGTGCAACTTGACAATACTTATTAAACCCTCCAATGTGGGGGACTCCTCTGGTGGCGCAGTGGTTGAGAATCCGCCTGCCAATGCAGGGGACACGGATTCGAGCCCTGGTCCGGGAAGATCCCACGTGCCGCGGAGCAACTGAGCCTGTGCGCCACAGCTACTGAGCCTGCGCTGTAGAGCCCGCGAGCTGCAACTGTCGAAGCCCACACACCTAGAGCCCGTGCTCCGCAACAAGAGAAGCCACCACAATAAGAAGCCCGAGCTCTTTGGTCTCAGCGGCAGAAGCGAGATGACGCAGGGAACGTCCTCGTTTGGAAAGCGTCGGAATAAGATGCACACGTTGTGCCGCCGCTGTGGCTCTGAGGCCTACCACCTTCAGAAGTCGACCTGTGGTAAATATGGCTACCCTGCCAAGCGGAAGAGGAAGTATAACTGGAGTGCTAAAGCTAAAAGACGAAATACCACCGGGACTGGTCGAATGAGGCACCTAAAAATTGTATACCGCAGATTCAGGCATGGATTCCGTGAAGGAGCAACACCTGAACCCAAGAGGGCAGCTGTTGCAGCATCCAGTTCATCTTAAGGATTTCAATCATTAGTCACGCAATAAATGTTCTGGTTTTGAAAAAAAATTAAAAAAATAAGAAGCCCGTGCACCACAACGAAGAGTAGCCCCCACTCGCCGCAACTAGAGAAAGCCCGCGCACAGCAATGAAGACCCAATGCAGCCATTAATTAATTAATTAAAAAAAAAAACTTCCAATGTGGCTTTCCTTTGACCCAGTGAATCCACTTCCCCTAGATACTGAGGGGGCCAACTGCTATAGGTCAGAGTAATTCACTGTTGCATGGGGTCGGAGCAAACGATTGGAAAATGAAGGTCTTTTGATAGGAAACTGGTTAAAGCAGAGATTCTGAACCTTTTTTTTTTTTTGTGCCGTGGACCCTTACGGCAGCCTGGTAAAGCCCACATGGATTCCATCTCAAAATACTGATTTTAAATGTATAAAAGGCATTGAATTACAAGAAAACCAACTAAGATAACACACTCATCAAAATCTTCTAAAAATAAATTTGTGATTCCTAGACCTGCTTCTTTATTAAATAACACGATGTAGCCACAGGTCTAATAAGATACAGAAGGAAAACAAAGTTTTGAGATCTGCACTACACTGTAATGGGATATGAAAACATCTGTGATTTCCATTGGTGATTGTCACAGGTACTGCTAATATTACTGTGGTTTGTTGTCTATAGTCATAATTGAAGAAAGTGTTATATTTCAGATGGAGGTTGGTGAAAATAAAAATACAATTTCTTCTCATGCAAGTTCATAGATTTTGCGGATTAGAATCATGGTCCTCTTGGGGGGTTCCAAAAACTCCAAGTTAAGAACCCTCATGTTGAGCAATTGGTAACACTGTACAGTGGAAGTTTTCAAAAGCCATTAAAAGGTGAGGAAGCTCTTTATATTCTGATTTAGTACAACTTTCATGCCATGTTAAGTGAAAATAAGCAAGAGGCAGAACGGGGTATATATTATAATACCATTTGTGTGAATAACGGAAAAATATATTCATATCTGCTTGTGTTTGCACAAAGTATCTCTGGATACTTTAAGAAACTGATCATTTTAATTTTTTCTAGGGAGGGGAAGTGGTGGCTAGGGGTGGAGAGAGATGGGGAGGGAGCTTTTCCAAGGCAAACACTTGAATTTTGAACTTAAATTTTTAAAAAAGAAAGGAAACAAACTATTCTCATACCCATTGTGATGGCTACTGTAATCAAACAAACAAATCAGAAAGTAAGTGTTGGCAAGGATGTGGAAAAATTGGAACTCTTGTGCATTGCTGGTAGGAATGTAAAATGGTGTGGTCACTATGAAAAACTGGCAGATCCTTTAAAAATTAAAAATAGAATTAGCATGTGATGCAGCAATTCCACTTTTGGGTATATACCCCAAAGTCTTGAAAGCAGGGACTTAAAGAGAGATTTATGGATCCACGTTCATAGCAACATTATTCACACAAATCAAGAGGTGGAAGCAACCCAAGCGTCCATCAACAGACGGATAAACAAACTGTGGTGGATCCATACAATGGAATATTATTCAGCCTTAGAAAGGAAGGAAATTCTGACACATGCCACAACATGGAAGAGCCTTGAGGACATTAAGTGAAATAAGCCAGTGGCAAAAGGACAAAGATTATCCGACTCTACTTATATGAAGTACCTAGAATAGGTAAATCCATATAGACAGAAAGTAGAACAGTAGTTACCAGAGGCTTGAGGGAGAGGGGGCATTTGGAGTTAGTGTTTAGTGGGTACAGAGTTTCAGTTTCGCAAGACAGGAGTTTTAGAGAGGGTGGTGGTGATGGTTGCATACTAATGGCTGTGAATGTACTTAAGGCCACTGAACTCTGCACTTAAAAAGATGGTAACTTTTATGTCTACCACAACTAAAAATGGTAACTAAAAAAAACAAGAAAGAAAAAAAAAACAACACTAGGGCATATTTTTATAAACTGTCTAGTGACACTAAATATTCATTTTCTCTGCCTTTTGCCCCACCCCTGTTCTTAAGACTACAGTTTGGGAGGAAAACGTGCCAGCTCATCCGCTGGCTGACAAGCTTGTCCGCTATGCCCCAGACAGGAAATGACCCGGCCCCCGTGCAGACCACACTGTTCATGGTCCATGATGGGGCTTTCTCCATATCCTTGTGCCTGGAGCTGGAGGTGACAGGAAAAGAGCACAGAATGTGAGCTGAGGGATCTTAGGCAAGTCATTTAACTGCTCTTGAATCTCAAAAGTCAGGCTACTAATGATGACACTCAACCATCTCATATGACGGATACTAAAGAAGAACCTTATCTACAAATATAATTGTCACCGTGAGCAATGAGTAGGTGAAATAAAGGAGTACCAAGGAAGCTACCAGAAACCCTCACTCTTCCCTATGAGTTTCAGCCACCCAGTTCCTGCTGTCCTTTCATGGCATACTTCTCAGTTTGTAATCCTGTGGTCTAGTTTTGGAGGTCTGTGTGTCTTGCCTCTCCCACTAGATGTGAAGCTCCGTGAAGGCAAGGACCTTGTCTAATTTAGTGCCATAGCTCCAGAGCCCACACAGTGCAGTCACTCATCAAATGTTACTACAAGAAAGGTCATAGGTCTGTATTTTAGTACAGTGTGGTTATGACTAGCATCTCTGAGCTCAAATCCTGCCTCCACCTCTTACTTGTTAAGTCCTCAGGCAAATTACTTAACTGTTCTATGCCCCCATTTCTGTAAAATGGGAATAATAATAGTATGAGGATTAAATGAGATAATCCCCTTGGGGCAGTTTTTTTTTTTTTTTTAACTGTAGCTGGAAATTCACTAGTGAGTCATGATATTAATTCAGTGAGTTGCAAAATAATTTTAAAATTCATAAAAATAGAATAGGAAAGTATGACTGTACATCATGTTTAGTAAGGGAGAGTTAGGGTAAATTGTTGAAACTTCTGTTTCATCAATACTGGATATCAATGTAAAATGTAATTTTGTAAAATGGGGGTATAACATATATACAGAAAAATGCACTAATCTTGAGTTTATAGCTTGACAATTTTTACCATATGTGTACACCCATGTAACCACACCTGGATTAATTCTCTATAAATGTACCTCCTGCCCCCCCCCCCATTCTCCCATCCCAGGGCTACCATCAACCTGTCTTCTATAAGTAAAGATTAGTTTGCCTGTTCTTGAATTCCACGTGCAGGACGCTCTCTTTTGTACCTGGCTTCTGTCTCTCAATGTAGTATCTGCAGGATTCATCCATACAGTTGTGTGTATCACTACTCTGCTCTTTTTCATTGTTGTGTAGTATTCCATCATATGAATGTACCACAATTTAAAAAATTGATTCCTCTTTTCCATTTGGATTGTTTCCAGTTTGACACAATTATGAATAAAGCTGCTCTGAATATTCTTTTTTTTTCGGTACGCGGGCCTCCCACTGCCGTGGCCTCCCCCGCTGCGGAGCACAGGCTCCGGACGGGCAGGCCCAGCGGCCATGGCTCACGGGCCCAGCCGCTCCGCGGCACGTGGGGCCCTCCCAGACCGGGGCACGAACCCGCGTCTCCTGCATCGGCAGGCGGACTCTCAACCACTGCGCCACCAGGGAAGCCCTCTTTTTTTTTTTAATTAATTAATTAATTTTTGGCTGCGTTGGGTCTTTGTTGCTGTGTGCGGGCTTTCTCTAGTTGCGGTGAGTGAGGGCTACTACTCTTCGTTGCGGTGCGCGGGCTTCTCATTGCGGTGTCTTCTCTTGTTGCGGAGCACGGGCTCTAGGCGTGCGGGCTTCAGTAGTTGTGGCGCACGGGCTTAGTTGCTCCGTGGCATGTGGGATCTTCCCGGACCAGGGCTCGAATCCGTGTTCCCTGCATTGGCAGGCAGATTCTTAATCACTGCGCCACCAGGGAAGCCCTGAATATTCTTATATGTATCTTTTTGTGGTCATAAGTACTAATTTCTCTTTAGTTAAAAAGTATTTCTTACTCTAGGTCAAAGTTTCTCAAAGTGTGAAACCTGGACCAAGAGAATCAGCATCATCTTGGAACTTGTGAGAAATGCAGATTCTCAGGTCCCATTGCAGACCTACTGAGTCAGAAACTCTGCAGCCGGGGCCGGGCAATCTGTGTTTTAACGAACACTCAAGGTGATTTTGATGGCTGCTAAAGCTTGAGAACCACTGCTCAAGGTCCTGGTCAAAAATGCTGGAAGCCGCTGCTTTAGAACACACTCGGCACAGGGGCCAGCACCGAGCAAGTGCTCGATTAATGTTAACCATCTTAACGCTTCTAATCTGAGGACTGCATACTCGTAGTGATTTGTTTTGAGGGGCTTGGATGTTCAAGAGAAGAAAGCGTCCCCCCTGCCAGTGGCCGCTCCCCGCACTCACCTCCCTGCCGGCCGCCAAGCTCTCTCTCCGCAGCCCCTCCACCTCCTTCCGGAGGTTGTCCCGCTCCATTCTTAGCTCCTCCATCGTCAGGCTGCCCTCATTCACCAGCGTCTCCAGCATCTCCAGGACGCGGACGATCTTGAACTGCAGCTGTGTCACCCGGGGGTCGCTGCCCAGGGCCATCAGCTCGCGGCCCATCACGTAGGAGATGTCATATACATCCTCGGCGGTCAGCTGGAAGGGGCTCTTGCCCAGGGCCCCCTCGGGCCCAGCCTCGTCCCCCTCCTCCTCTTCCTCCTCTCGCAAAGGGGGCTCTTCCATGGCCGCCCAGACCCCTGCAGCCTCCGGAGCTGCTGCTTTCTCGGAGTCTCCGAACGTCCAGCTTCCTCCCGGCACGGAAAACTTTCCGCGGGTCAGTGGACCCTGCCTGTTCAGGGCGGGGCAGGAGCAGCCAATCAGCGCAGCCGAGGGGTGGGCCCGGAGAGGGGCTGTAGGAGGAGGCCACGCAGGGCAGATCTCAGGCCAGGACTCCCGGTGCACCGTCCCAGCGGAGGCCCGTGCGGGAGTGCGGGCTCCAGGATGTGGTTGGGGCACGAAAGGACAAGGGAAAGGGAGGGCCGCCGCGAAGAGGAACAGAGAGGTTAAGGGGTGACAGTGATCGCTCCCAGCCCGAGAGCTGTTGCAGACGGGGAGGGGCCCAGACCCCAGCTCCGCCCTTGGTGACAGCCACCGCAGAAGCCGGGTGTTCCCGGAGACAGGGGCGGAGTTTCCACCGCATTCTGGGAAGGAGGCTAAAAAGCACACAACTCTTCCCTTTCTGCACTCAGGTGTTCCAGCCATAGAATTTGCATGGTACGGGGAGGCAGATCCGGTCTCTGAGAATATTTCCTGAAGCGTGCGGCAAAGCGAAAAACAGCAGTTGGTGGCAGCGCGCGGGAGTCTAGTGGTCTGTGTTGCGCAGAGCTTCCAGGCCTATGATCACCGGGACCGGCGGCATCTGACCCTCAGTTAAATGGAGATTCCCTGCGCTATGCACCTGGCTCTATCCTGGGTTCCTCCACTTGACCAGCGTGTGGCCTTTTCAAGTTACTTAAGTCCACCGAGCCTCACTTTACTCCTGGGTAAATAACCGTACCTACGGAGTAGGGTCGTTGTGAGGAATATATGAGATCATGAGACAATGACTGTGACAAAAAGCGCTTAGGAAAGGCTCAAAAATTATTAGCGGGTATTCTGGATTCTTCCCTCCAACAAACACTAAGCTTGTGTGCCGGGCGCTTGGCACTTGGGTTGGGAAGGGAGGAGTAATAGATAAGACAAAAATCACCGCTTTGAAATTAGAAAACATTCTGCAGCTACACAGGGTATGACTGAGAATATTAGCAGTGTGGATTACAAAACGGGTTATTTTAGATTTAATTCAGGGTTTGTAATAGTCATAGGCAGACAATCCAGCAATGGAGATTGTCTTTCCCAGGAACGTATTGGCAGTTTTCTTCGTGGTAGATGTACCAGATTTTCTCCACAGTGAAGCTGTGGAGTCAAAATGGAGAGTGGACAAGGATAAAACAAACAAACAAAAAGCAAACGAACAAAACAGACACTAATTTCAGATGGTACAATGTTTTAATGATCAAACAAGGCCCCGGGCAAGGGCTCAGTAATCCATTAGTCACAGACCTGACGACACCCTGTGATTAAATATGGAGAAATATTAGGCTTACCATAAGTATAATATGGCATATCCATACAATGGACTATTATTCACTCATAAAAAGGAATGAAGGAATAGAGGGTCCAGAAAGAAACCCTCACAAACACGGTCAAATTATTTTCAACAAGGGTGCCAAGACTGTTCATTGGGGAAAGGATAGTTTTTTCAACAAATGGTGTTGGGAAAATTGGATACCCACATGCAAAAGTGTGATGTACCTTACCTTACACCATATACAAAAATTAACTCAGAATGGATCAAAGGCCTAAAGCTACAAAACTCTAAGAAGAAAACATAGTGGAAAAGCTTTATGTCAATGGATTTGGCAATGAGTTTTTAAAAAACACAGAAAAAGAAACAAAAGAAAAAAATAGATAAACTGGACTACATTGATGAAATAAAATTTATATTTTAAGGCAGGACAAGAAAATGTAAACATAAAATTCTCTCTCTGTACATTTGGGCCTCCTCCCTCCCTCTCTCATGTGCAATGTACATTTGCATTATACATTAACCAGACCTCCTCAAAGGTGGGAATGCCTGCTTGACCACAAAGGTCAACTTTTTTTTCCCTTTCTTCTGATGCTAGCAATGTAACCGCTTAAAAGATTAGCACTCTTTCCAAACTCTGTAGGGAGTCATGGTGACTTAATTGCTTGCTTACCTGGACTCTGTATCTTTGGTGAAGTTTATGTAAAATGCCTGTATGTCATTTTGATGTATGATCCTTTGTCTCAAAAAGGCTTATGACTGTGTCTTTGACTTCTAATAGGCAGAACAGTTCTCAGAGTTTCTGAGAGTCTGTCTCTTGGGTTATAATCCTCAGTTTGACTTAAGTAAAATTATCTTTTGGGACTTCCTTGGTGGTCCAGTGGTAAAGAATCCACCTTCCAATGCAGGGGACGTGGGTTCGATTCCTGGTCGGGGAACTGAGCCCGCGCGCCACAACTATTGAGCTCGCGCGCCTCAACGAGAGAGCCCGCGTGCCGGAAACTACAGAGCTCACGCGCTCTGGAGCCGGAGCACCACAACTAGAGAGAGAAAACCCGCACACCACAACTAGAGAGAAGCCTGCGCACTGCAACAAAAGCTCCCGCATGCCTCAACGAAGATCCCATGTGCCACAACTAAGACCCGATGCAGCCAAAAAAGTAAAAAATAAATAAATTAGGGACTTCCCTGGTGGCGCAGTGGTTAAGAATCCGCCTGCCAATGCAGGAGACACGGGTTTGAGCACTGGTCGGGGAAGATCCCATATGCCGCGGAGCAACTAAGCCACAACTACTGAGCCTGCGCTCTAGAGCCCATGAGCCACAACTACTGAGCCCTCGAGCCACAACTACTGAAGCCTGCGTGCCTAGAGCCCGTGCCCCGCAAGAAGAGAAGCCACCGAAATGAGAAGCCCACGCACTGTGACGAAGAGTAGCCTCTGCTCACCGCAACTAGAGAAAGCCCGCGCACAGCAACGAAGACCCAACACAGCCATAAAAAAAAAAAAAAAAAAAAATCCCGCAGCTGCAACCAAGACCCGGTGCAGCCAAAAATAAATAAATAAATACTAAAAAAAAATCAATCTATGTAATCCACCATATTAACAGGCTAAAGAATCCACAAAAAAACTATTAGAGCTAATAAATGAGCTCAAGGTTGCAGCATACAAGATCAATATAAAATATCAATTGCATTTCTTTTTCTTTTTCTTTTTGGCCACACTTTACGGCATGTGGGATCTTAGTTTCCCAACCAGGGATCAAACCTGCATCCCCTGCAGTGGAAGTGCAGAGTCTTAACCACTGGACTGCCAGGGAAGTCCCTGCGGAGCAGAAATTGAGACACAGACGTAGAGAACAAACATATGGACACCAAGGGGGGAAAGTTGTGTGGGGGTGGGGGTGGTGTGATGAATTGGGCGATCGGGATTGACATGGATACACTGATGTGTATAAAATGGATGACTAATAAGAACCTGCTGTATAAAAAAATAAGAAGAAGAAGAAAAAAAATAAATAAAATGAAAAATAGAATTATCATATGATCCAGCAATACCACTTTGGGGTACAAATCCAAAAGAATTGAAAGCAGGGTGTCAAAGAGATATTTGCACACTCACGTTCACAGTAGCATTATTCACAATAGCCAAAAGGTGGAAGTTACCCAAATGTCCATCCACAGATGAATGGATAAAAAAAAATGTGGTGTATCCATACAATGGAATATTAATCAGCCTTAAAAAGGAAGGAAATTCTGACACGTGCCACAACATCGATGAACCTTGAGGACATTATGCTAAGTGAAATTAAGCCAGTCACCAAAAGATAAATACTATATGATTTCACTTATCTGAGATATCTAGTGCACAAACTCATAGAAACAGAAAGTAGAATGGTGGTTGCCAGGGGCTGGGGGGAGGGGGGAATGGAGGGCTGTTGTTTAGTGGGTACAGAGTTTCAGTTCTGTAGGGTGAAAAAGTTTTGGAGTTTGGTTGCACAACAATACAAATGTACTTAACACTACTGAACTGTACACTTAAAAATGGTTAAGCTTGTAAAATAAATTTTATCTCATGTGTACTTTACCCGTTTTCCTTCTTTTAACATGTGAGGAAACTCTATGGGGTGATGAAAATGTGCTACATCTTGATCTTGGTGAAGGTCACATGAGTATATACATAGGTGAAATATTGCGGAACTGTATGCTTAACACTGTGTATTTCCTTTAGGTAAATTATACCTCAACGAAGTGCTGGTAAGGAGGTAAGGAATGAAGCACTGACGGACGCTACAATGTGGATGAATCTTGAAAACATTTTACTGAGTGAAAGAAGCCAGCCACAAAGGCCACCTATTGTATGATTCCATTTATATGAAATGTGCACAACAGCAAATCCATAGAGATAGAAAGTAGATTAGTGGTTGTCTAGAGCTGGGGGAGGGGGAGGGGGAGTACGTGCTAATGCAGACAGGGCTTCTTTTTGGGGTGACGAAAATGCTCTAAAATTAGATTGTGGTGATGGTTGCACAACTCTGTAAATAGACTAAAAACCACCGAACATCGTTGTTGGAATGTAGCCTTCGCAGAGCAATGCTTATCAGAAAGAAGTTAATGTTGCTGCATTTATTTTTTACCATCAGGATCCCCAGCCACCACTGCTGGTATGAATCTCTCCTGCACCACTGTCCTTTTCAAAAGTTCCTTCTGCCTTGAAATTTCTCTAGAAATTGATCCTCTAAGGCACCATATCTTCCTTCCTTCTTTGTTACACAGTGAAACCTGGTAAATCGCACTTTAAAAAAGTCAAAGTGTCTTCCATTGGGTAACTAGGATTTTGATATATAAAAAAAAGATTCTTTTGTTCATTCATTTGACAACTTATTTACTGAGCGCCTACTATGTGCCAGGACTGTAAAGTAGTAGCCAACAGGGCTGTGGAGTTAAGTAGTTTTGACTTGAACCTCACAATTGTTACTTCCTGGTACATAAATTTGATCAAATTCTCTAATCTCCAAATCCCCATTTCCTACAGTCAACTTGGAAAAATAAAAGTATTCCCCAAAACTGGTGTGAGGATTAGACGAGATAATTTGTGAAAAGTGCCTCATCCAGTGTCCAGCACATCATAAGCATCAATGGACACTGGTTGTTATTATCAAGTGTTAACGATCTTAACTCTTAGATCCCTCATAGAATTGGACAATCTGTTGGTAGATAATCATGACCCTTCTCTCTCCGTTGGGAAATTATGAAAACAATTCTGAATTACAGCTGTTAAAAAACAAAATTCGGGACTTCCCTGGTGGTCCACTGGGTAAGACTCCATGCTCCCAGTGCAGGGGGCCTGGATTCGATCCCTGGTCGGGGAACTAGATCCCGCATGCATGCCGCAAGTAAGAAGTCTGCATGCCGCAACTAAAGATCCCGCATGCCACAATGAAGATCCCGTGAGCTACAACTAAGACCTGGAGCAGACTAAATTAAAAAAATAAATAAATAAATATTTTAAGTTTATTTATTTTAGTTTTGTCTGCACTGGGTCTTTGTCGCTGCACGTGGGCTTTCTCTAGTTGCGGCGAGCGGGGCTGCTCTTCCTTGCGGTGCTCAGGCTTCTCATTGCGGTGGCTCCTCTTGTTACGGAGCATGGGCTCTAGGCGCACGGGCTCAGTAGTTGTGGCTTGTGGGCTCTAGAGTGCAGGCTCAGTAGTTGTGGCGCATGGGCTTAGGTGGTTCGCGGCATGTGGGATCTCCCCAGAACAGGGCTCGAACCCGTGTCCCCTGCATTGGCAGGCAGATTCTTAGCCACTGCACTAGGGAAGCCCCTAAATAAATACTAAAAAAAAAATTCAACTGAGTATATTTGAAGATCTCCTTGGCTTTATTTGACGATTCATGAATTGGGCAGCATCTCATCTAGCAAGTAGAAAAGAGCTTCAGAGGAGCTGTACAAATGGAAGGTTTTTAAAGGCAGAAAAGGGGGATAAGACAAGGAAGTCATAAACAAAAGAAAGGATTATTTCAGGTAAGGTCGCCTTCCCTTGGGGGTAAAGGTGGGGAGTCTATCAAGCAGATTACCTCACTAGGGATGATCAGGAAATTCCAGATTGATTGGTTTAAAATTCCACCCCTGGGAGAGGCTGAAACTGAAGTTATATATTAAGGGCTTAGCACAAGTGATTCCATTTGGGGCTGGTTTCTTTTCTCACCCAGCAGAGGTTCTTAAAGTGTGTTTCCGAGACCAGCAGCATCAGCATCACCTGGAAACTTTTCAGAAATGCAAATTCTTGACCCACTGAATCAGAAACTTTAGGGGTGGGCCCCAGCAATCTGTTTTTTTTTTTTTGCGGTACGCGGGCCTCTCACTGCTGTGGCCTCTCCCGTTGCGGAGCACAGGCTCCGGACGCGCAGGCTCAGCGGCCATGGCTCACGGGCCCAGCCGCTCCGCGGCATGTGGGATCTTCCCGGACCGGGGCACGAACCCGTGTCCCCTGCATCGGCAGGCAGACTCTCAACCACTGCGCCACCAGGGAAGCCCCAATCTGTGTTTTAACAAGCTCTCTAGGTAATTCTGATGCACATGCACCCTGAAATTGAAAAAGTATGAGTGCTACCACAGTGTTCAACGTGGATTCTAGACAAGACCACAACAGTTCAAATCTTGATTGGCTCTGTCACTTGCAAGCTGTGTGATCTTAGGCAAGGAAATTACTTCTCTGGGGCTCAGTCTCCCCAGCTATCAAATGGGGGTAAGGATAGAAGCCACTTTATAAGATTGTCGTGAAGTGCTTTAGAACAGCATCTGGCACACGGTAAGTGCTCAATACATGTTGGCTATTATTATTACTATGCCTATTATAAACTACTTTATCTCCAGAATATGAAGTATGAGAAACTCCCCAAGTTCATATGATTATTTGGGTACAAGCTACGAAAGGCTGGATCAGTAACACACATAGAATATGTCTACAACAAAGCTTTTTAAAAAGTCCAAGTGGGGCTTCCCTGGTGGCGCAGTGGTTGAGAGTCCGCCTGCCAATGCAGGGGACATGGGTTCGTGCCCCGGTCTGGGAAGATCCCACATGCCGCGGAGCGGCTGGGCCCGTGAGCCATGGCCGTTGAGCCTGCGCGTCCGGAGCCTGTGCTCCACAACGGGAGAGTCCACAGCAGTGTAGAGGCCCAGGTACCGCAAAAAAAAAAAAAAAAAAAAGGAGCATAGAGTAAGGTATCGCCCAACTCACTGTTAAGCAAAGGAAAACATGACGTGGGAAACAAAAGTAGTGGGTGGATCATGCTTCATAAAAATGGAACCATAAGTGTTTGGGGGTTAATTCCACCCATAGGAAAGTTCCATTAGCAAATATCTGGTGGTCCTATTTTGGTACATCAAGCAGAGTAGGTCTCGTGCTCTTCTGAATACTGGTGGCACCATTAATTTCCTGAGTGGTACATTCAGCATGCCTTTCTTCCTGTTCTCTTTTGGCTTAAATGCCTGCAATCCTGGGTCGGTGACTTCAGCTCTAGGAGCTGAAAGTCTTTAGAAAAGAATTTGGTTGCAGGAAGGGTGGTGCCCAGAGCACTTGTTTTCAGTCGGTGTTTGCATAACAGCACACTTTTTTTTTTAAACTTAGGTGAAATGTTTATGCAGGGTGATGAGTGGGAGGGTGGGGTGTGTGTGTGGGGAGGTGGTGTAGGTGGGTGAAGGAAGCATTAAAGGAAACTACAGCCAAGGGACTAATGTCCTCCACCCTACTCTCCAGGCCAGCTCTGTTCCACCCAGGAAGGTTACAATACACTCTGCAATGGGTTGTTGAGAGAGTGAAGTGAGCTTAGCCCAGTGTCTGGCAGGTGATGCTAACTGTTTGTTTGTTTGTTTGTTTAAATGTTTGTTTTAAGATGGTATTAGTGTGGTGGTGATCAGTTTGAAATCTACAGAAATATCAAATCATAATTTTGTGCACCAGGAGCTAACATAGTGTTGTAGGTCAGTTATACTTCAAAACAAACAAACACACAAACACATAGAAAAAGAGATCAGATTTGTGGTTCCCAGAGGTGAGGCCTGGGGGTGGGGGAACTGGACAGAAGCAGTCAAAAGGTACTTATTTCCAGTTATAAATTAGTACTAGGGATGTAATGTATGATATGATAAATATCTTTTTAACACTGCTGTATGGGAAAAAGAATTTTTTTTCTATTTCTTTTATTTTGTATCCTTACGAGATGACAGATGCTCACTAAACTTACTGTGGTAATCATATCATGATGTATGTAAGTCACCTTAAACTTATATAGTGCTGTATGTCAATAAAACCGGAAAAAGGGAAAAAAGATTGTATTAATATGAAACTTCTATAGAAATCTCTAGTAGGGTTGCTCACGTTGCCCTTCAGATCTTCTGCTTGGTTTATAAAGTATTTTGTTATGTAAGTAATTTTGTATATAATTAAACTTTAATTATGTAGATGTGGCAGCCGTGGAGATGCCTTTCAGATGACCCTTCAAGAGGCCACCAAGCATATTAAAAGATGTCTGCAGCACCTTCAGAGTCTGCAGCAGCATTCATGCTGTGGATGCACTTTTCCCAGAAGCCTTCCGTTGATAAGCCAGCAGAGCAGAGATACTGGGACCACAATATTTCTTTTTTAAATTTAATTAATTAATTAATTTAAAAATATGTTTATTTATTTTTGGCTGCACTGGGTCTTCGTTGTTGAGCGCGGGCTTTCTCTAGTTGCCGTGAGGGGGGCTACTCTTAGGTGCGGTGCGCGGGCTTCAAACAGTGGCGTCTCTTGTTGCGGAGCACGGGCTCTAGGCGCCCAGGCTTCAGTGGTTGTGGCACACGGGCTCAGTAATTGTGACTCGCGGGCTCTAGAGCGCAGGCTCCGTAGTTGTGGCGCACGGGCTTAGTTGCTCTGCGGCATGTGGGATCTTCCTGGACCAGGGATCGAACCAGTGTCCCCTGCATTGGCAGGGGGATTCTTAACCGCTGCGCCACCAGGGAAGTCCTAAATATGAAATTTTAAACTATAGATATTGCTCACTTTTTTACTCAATACATTTTATTAATATATTTCAAGAGGACGTACTTTAAAGAAAGCTATAGATATTCAGAACCTATGCTTCACCTACATAATAAAGATGTGATAAAAACTAGGTAGCAGTAGTACATCCTTAGTAGCTGGTCATTGGCTTACCTTCTAAGAATAGGACTGGAATCAAAATGAGATCAGCTGTTCGCAGAAATGACCCACTTGTAAGAATTAATCAGAAAATGAGTGGCTGAAGAAATCACGAGACTCATCATGAAAAGCACAACTGTCTCAAGACATTTCAAGTTGTACCACAAGTCGTAATCTACCCGAATATTTTGACCTAAAAAAAAGAAACACAGCATAATCTGAATGCATACATCTACCCGTTCTACACAGATTTACTGACCACACGGTTCTCCCCTCTCCCTCCCACGCTTAGGTTTTAAATCTGGGCTTCTTAACCGTGACTCTAAAGGCAGGGGTCCTCAAAGAGTCAGTTTGAGGTTCATTCGGCGGTTCTGAATTCACTGATTCCCTGCGGGGCCCAGGAAACGGCATTTAAACCAGCTTCCACGCGATTCTTAAGTAAACTCTCCAAACTGTGAAGAACTGTTTTGCTTCTGTGGAAAGCGAACGTGTTAAATTTACGGGTTAGAAAAACTCTGGCAAAACATACGTACAAAGTTTCCTTGTGAACCGGCATACGCATTTTCTGAGTAAAAAAACCCCACAATATTAATCAAATTCTCAAAGCGAGCCTAAGAACCAAAACTCGCATCGCGCTGAAACACCTCTTTGCTACGGAGAGAAATCCCGCGGCTCCCAGACAACTAGCTGCACATTCGATCGTCTTTCAACTTTTGTTCAATTTAGCAGTTTGTGTCTTCGTGAAAAATTTTACAGAAACAGAAAGTTCATTCTCGTCGGAGACGATATGCAGTCGATGCTCAAGGCATGTAATTAAATTTCTTAAAATAAAAGCAAAAACGGAAACAGGGCCCGTGACGAATCTGCTACTTCCGATGTAAAGGTCCTGTCAGTCAAGGAGGAAGAATCTTCCGTCGCTTCGAGCTCGGCACCAGGCCCCGTGGGAAAGAAAGCCCGAGCCTTCCGGAGGTGAGCGGGAGCGGTTTGGTGGGAGTAGGGCCCACCCTGGCGAGAAGGACGAGGGAATTCGGCCTGGACGGTATGTCGGCGCGTGCGTGGGCCGCCATGTTGAAAGCGGGCAAAGGGGGACCTTTTGGGGTTGTGTTGCCGGGAGCGGGGGCGACAGCTGGGTTGGTAGGATGACCCCTTCCGTCCTGTGCCCCCTCAGATGGTGACGGGCAGGGGAAGGCATCCCTGAGGGACGGCGGCCGAGGCGGAGGCGCTGCGGGGCGGGGGGCGGATCGGAAGTATAGACTTTTTCACGGAGACTTCCGCGTTAGCGTCCATGGCCTCACTGCGCGTGCTCGGACGGCTCCGGGCGCCAGCCTTCAGTTTGCTTCCCACCTGGTGGGAAGCGCCGGTTGTTCTGTTTTGCAGACTCAGTGCTGCAGGGACGAGTGCTTTGTTTGTTTGCTTAAGAATAGATTTTTTTTTTTTTGCGGTACGCGGGCCTCTCACTGCTGTGGCCTCTCCCGTTGCGGAGCACAGGCTCCGGACGCGCAGGCTCAGCGGCCATGGCTCACGGGCCCAGCCGCTCCGCGGCACGCGGGATCTTCCCGGACCGGGGCACGAACCCGTGTCCCCTGCATCGGCAGGCGGACTCTCAACCACTGCGCCACCAGGGAAGCCCAAGAATAGCTTTTATTTGTATAATAATTTATAATTAGAAAGCGCTTTCAAAGACACTACCTTCTCTCATCTTCACAAAAAACGCGGTGGAGGCACTTAGCAGCATTTAACAGGTGATTTAAATTTTGCCGAAGCTAACATTAGGTCTCACACCTGGGTGTTCTGACTCCCAATCCAGTGCTTTTTCACTTTCCACACTTCTGTCTTTAATAGTTCATTGCCCCACTCACCTCCACCCCCGGCGATTCATCTCTCACATCCCATCTCCGTTTATGAAGTAATGACGGGAATCTAAACATCCAGAGAGATGGTGGTAGAAAATCTCGATGCAATGTTGCAACGGAGGAAATACACCTAGAAAGATTAACGAGAAGCTGTGAAGCCCGCTCTTCTCTTGGTATTTAGTATTGATAGGAGCATGCAGGTGAGGGAGAAAACCGGAAACTCATCTTTTATCCCTTTGTAATTTTTTTCCAGAGTTTAATTTGAGGAACCCTTAAAGCTTTGAACAGGAGCTCTGACTGTGTACAGCAATGTCAGCTTTATTTGGTGGATCTTTGTGACCTTTTCCTGTGGAATGGGGACGGGTTCCTTTCCCACTTGGCTGCGAGGGGGTTCTCAGCCTCAGACACCCAGACGTGGCCTGCTTTTTCCTATCCCCATCTCAAGCTTTATATTTTATGACAGCTATCTAAGGAAGAGTTAAGAGCTCAAGCTCTGGAGTCAATAAAAGCCCTTGGTTCTAACTCCCCCTCTGGGCTACTTCTGTGATTTGGGCCAAAAGACAATCTTTTTGCCTCTCACCTTTGGCATCTGGAATGGCAATAATAGAAGTGGGTGTGTCCCGGTGTTGTTGAGAGGGGAGGGGAGTTAAGTGCTTAGGCACTTAGCACAGTGCCTGGCAATTAGAATCTTAAGAATTTTAGGGCCATTTAGAGAATACCAGAGCAGAGATCCAAACAACACAGTGATCTCTCTCTCTTTTATTCCCCCATGTGGAGAAATTACAGCCATAATAGACAAAAGACACAAAGTGAGTTAGAGGCAGAGCCCAGACAGGACCAAAAACGTCTCACTCTTCTCATGCTCCTTCCCTTGTTCTAGTTGTTTATCATCCTTTTACTGATAAGGATACCAGAGAGGTGTCTTCTCCAAAGTTGCTTGTGAATGATGAGACGCATATATGTCCTCCTTTTACAATTTGGTGGCAGATGGTGTAATGTCCTGCCTCTCAATTTTCTTTCTTTCTTTTTTAAAATAATTAATTAATTTTTTGGCTGCATTGGGTCCTCGTTGCTGCGTGCAGGCTTTCTCTAGTTGCGGCGAGCGGGGGCTGCTCTTCATTGCTCCGGTGCACGGGCTTCTCATTGTGGTGGCTTCTCTTGTTGCGGAGCACGGGCTCTAGGCGCACGGGCTTCAGTAGTTGTGGTATGTGGGCTCAGTAGTTGTGACTCGTGGTCTCTAGAGCGCAGGCTCCGTAGTTGTGGCGCATGGGCTTAGTTGCTCCGCGGCATGTGGGATCTTCCTGGACCAGGGATCAAACCCGTGTCCCCTGCATTGGCAGGCGGATTCTTAACCACTGTGCCACCAGGGAAGTCCCTGCCTTTCAGTTTTCAATGAAGTGGTCCTTTTTGTCTGATTTGGACCAAAATAAGTTCAGTGAATTTTGTTTGGAGTTGGTTCAGTTCCCCAGCATTTATCAGGGAGTGTCCTAGGATCTGGAGACACTGGGTTGAAGAGTGTTTATTGTGAAGAGTGTTTATTATGTGTTGGGCAAAACGTGATCAGTATGACAGAAGAGGTACCATGAGCTGTGGGACCAACGGATTTGCTTCATGGGGAAGAGGCTGGAAGCTGGACTTGAAGGACCAGTAGAATTTCCACAAGTGGAGATGTGGGAGGTGGAAAGGAAGGGAATATTCCCAGCAGAGGAAATTGCACCAGGAAAGACACAGAGCCAGGGGATTAGGGCACGTTCAAGGAATGAGGAGCAGTCCTGGGGAGAATAGGTTCTGCAATGGAATATGGGGAGAGGCTAAGTGAGAGTCAGAATTCTTGAGTTCATTGACTTCGGGTTTTATTCTGTAGGTGTTTTACTTTTTTACTGGGAAAAGAAATTCCACTGTGATAACTCCCCCTACATAATCTATAAACTGAAGAGCAAAACCAAAAAAGATCCTTGAGGAAAATTTGAGAGAGGGCGGGAAAACTATAGATACCATTTTAATAAATATCATGGAAAGATGCTGTTAGGAATGAAGATCACCAGATATATTTGACAGAGCCGTGGTTTTTAAGGAACATATTTCAGCCTTGGCTCTAAAGCTTTACAGAGGTAGTCACATGATTACCAGCAGGGTCTGAAATGTTGGCAAGCACCGAATTATTCCAGCAAATTCACATGAATCAATTATCATGTGTCAGACTTAAACTTACCCACCCTCTTTCAAACAAACATAGAAAGATCTTCTATCGGAATGAATGACAGTGGCAGTGTGCTTGCTGAACTAAAATTACCACTGCAATCAGTTCTCAAGCTCCAAAGCATAAATGGATTATGAGCTAGGGAAGTGGGAAGAAATCCCATCTTCCTTTTTTTTTTAAATAAAGTTTCTTTTTATTTATTTATATATATATTTTGGCTGCGTTGGGCCTTCGTTGCTGCACACGTGCTTTCTCTAGTTGCGGCGAGTGGGGGCCACGCTTCGTTGCAGTGCGTGGGCCTCTCATTGCAGTGGCTTCTCTTGTTGTGGAGCACAGGCTCTAGGCACGCAGGCTTCAGTAGTTGCAGCACACGGGCTCAGTAGTTGCAGCACGCAGGCCCTAGAGTGCGTGGGCTCAGTGTTATGGCATGCGGGCTTGGCCGCCCTGTAGTATGTGGGATCTTCCTGGACCAGGGATCGAACCTGTGTCGCCTGCATTGGCAGGTGGATTCCTAACCACTGTGCCACCAGGGAAGTCCCCCATCTTCCTTTTGAACTAAGGAGCCTGCGGCTGGGTCACTGTCATTTTGGCTTTGCTCCCTGTTTACTGACAGATGCAAAAGGCTGCGTTCAGAGCACCATTTTCCCATGTAGTTTTGTTTTTTTAAAAAGTCCTTATCAGAATAATCTGGGAGGGACTCCCCTGGTGGTCCAGTGGGTAAGACACCGCACTCCCAATGCAGGGGGCCCGGGTTCGATCCCTGGTCGGGGAACTAGATCCCACATGCCGCAACTAAGAAGTCCCGCATGCCTCAACTAAGGATCCTGCATAACGAAACGAAGATCCTGCGTGCCGTAACTAAAGACCCAGTGCAGTCTAAATAAATAAATAAATAAATATTTAAAAATTAAAAAAAAAAATCTGGGAGCGGGAATGTGGGGAGCACAGATGAAATAAGACAGGCCAGGTGTTGGTCATGGTTGGAGCCGGGTGAGAAATTCATGGAAGGTTATGCCATTGTCTACACTGGTATGTGTTTGAAACTCTTGGTAGTAAAGAGTTTTTAATTTTTATTAATGTTATTATTATTATTTATATATATACATTTGGCCGAGCCGTGTGGCTTGCGGGATCCTAGTTCCCCAACCAGGGATTGAACCCGGGCCCCAGCAGTGAAAGCGCCGAGGCCTAACCACTGGACCACCAGGGAAGTCCCATAAAGAGTTTTTTAAGATGCCCTTTTCCACAGAAGTTACCAGGCTGGTTTCCCTATGACCATTTTAAAGTCTCTGAAAGGTGAGCCTGGGTTTTGATTCTGGATTTTGATCCGTGTTGCCACGTTATAACAGTTTGTGTGTGGCCTACCGTGGCTAAGCTGGATGATACACGTATGCATCAAACTCAGGCACGTTGCCCTCTGCTTCTTCCGGGGAGGGTTGGTGGAGGAGTGAGTGCGAGCATTCTGGAGCCCCACTGCCTGGCTCTGATACTGTCTCCCCTGCTTTCTAGCTGCGAGGCCACAGCGTCTGAAAAATCCTCTTCCTTCCCTGTTGGAAGAAGGGGTGAAAAGCAGTATCTACTTCATGGGGTTGTTGGAAGGATTGAATACGTAGCTCACAGTAGATGCTACATAAACGCTTGCCATGCTTCTCTTTAGAACATGAACGATTGGATGCCCATCGCCAAGGAGTATGACCCGCTTAAAGCTGGCAGCATTGATGGCACCGACGAGGACCCACATGATCGAGCTGTCTGGAGGGCGATGCTGGCACGATATGCCCCCAACAAAGGTGTCACAGGAGACCCCCTCCTCACCCTGTTTGTGGCGAGACTAAACCTGCAGACCAAAGAGGAGAAGTTAAAGGAAGTATTTTCCCGCTATGGGGACATCCGGCGGCTTCGGCTGGTGAGGGACTTGGTCACGGGCTTTTCGAAGGGCTACGCCTTCATCGAATACAAAGAGGAGCGTTCTCTGCTCAAAGCTTACCGGGACGCCGATGGCCTGGTTATTGACCAACACGAGATATTTGTGGACTATGAACTGGAAAGGACTCTCAAAGGGTGGATTCCTCGGCGACTTGGAGGAGGCCTAGGGGGGAAAAAGGAATCCGGGCAGCTGAGATTTGGGGGGCGGGATCGGCCTTTCCGAAAACCCATTAATCTGCCAGTTGTTAAAAGCGACCAGTTTCGAGAGGGAAAGAGGGAGAGAAGGGAGCGATCTCGATCCCGAGAAAGACACTGGGACTCCAGGACGAGGGATCGGGACCATGACAGGGGCCGGGAGAAGAGGTGGCAGGAAAAAGAATCAACTAGGGTGTGGCCAGAAGGTGACTGGGACAGAGAGAGGGACTTCAGAGATGACAGGATCAAGGGGAGGGAGAAGAGGGACAGAAGTAAGTAGACTCCATCCCCTGCCAAGCCCAAACGAAGGTACCCGACCAGTAAAAGTGCAGGGAGACCTGCACTGCTTGTATACGGAATCCAAGTCCGGTGGTTGAATAAAACTTACTGATGAAAACAAAAACAAAACAGAAAAAACTTACTAATGATGATGGGGTTGGGTACGTTTTCTTACTAATGATGGTGGGGTTGGGTACGTTTTCTTTCGACTCTGGAATGCAGGTTCAAGATGAACACGCTACTTTGAATTTTCTCTTCTTCATCTTATAGTTTTTTTGTTTTTTGGGGCTCATGGGCGGTTTGCGGGATCTTACTTCCCTGACCAGGGATTGAACCCGCGCCCTCAGTAGTGAAAGTGCAGAGTCCTAACCATTGGACCACCGGGGAACTCCCTTCCTCTTATAGTTGTAAGGACCCATTATTTGATAAGCTTGAGAAACAATTTTGCAGTCACCAGCATCTGTACAGAAAGACCTATGTAAGGAGCCACGACTCATTTAATTTGGCAGTACGGAATTTGCTTTTTCTCCCATCTTTTGGAAATGGCCATTTTGAGGGCTTGGCAGAAAGAGGTGATGACTGAAAACCATTTGCATTGATCTGTGACTCCTGGGAACCCAAATCTGGTCAGAATCTAAGTTGTGTGTTTTCCACCTTTATGTCCATAGTGCAGGGTTTGCTGCAGTGAAATAAAAATGGGTTAGAAAAATGAATCCGAGGAGAATGTCCAGAGACTTAGTACCAAAAGCCAGTCTTAGCAGTGATCTGGGTCAGCAACCAGCTTCTCTTGAACAAATATAACTCCATTCTCGAGCCAAATGCTGACTACCTTTTTTCCTTTTCTCTTTTTGGCGGGGTGGCTGGCATTTAAAATGAAAACCCAGAGTTGCAGGGCTTTGGGGCTATGGTCTGTGGCAATCCTCCAGCCCTTGGAAAAGAGAAAGTTCAAAAGAAGTGAGAGTGAAATGAAAATGAAATCAATGAAAGGTTAGTAGCTAGTTCCGATGGACTGATTTGCCTTTTCTCTCTTGATCATCCAGCCTCTGGTTTGTTTGAAACTGGATATATTGACCTGAACTTCTGAGAGCTTTGAATAAGTGCCATACTGTTCATGTGATCTTTCAAGAAAGTGACATTCAACCTTTTTCTTTTATCCATGGCTGTGTCTTTGAAAGTTCAGGTTCTTAAAATTCAGGATGTCTCATGTAAAGTAAATGTCTGATTTAGTAGCAAGACTCACACATTCATTACTAGGTTTTTGCATCAGGAGTATGAATCTCATCGTTACATAGGGGACCTACGGTATCTTAAAAGTGCTGTCAGCTGTTAGAACTGTTTTAGAAGAATATGCTCTTTCCTTTGTAAATTTCCAGTGCAGAATTTTACTCTTCTCCTAAATCTCAGAAGACCGCCTTGCAGGAACACCTTTATGATTTCACCCATGTTTCATTTACAACGTGTGTTATGGGCTAGAGTTGGTAGGTACATTAGGTAAACAAGCTGCTCCACATCAGGGAAGCTGAGTCGTGAGACAGCTTCAGAAGAAACACAGACAGGGGCAGCAGTGTTTACGTAGTGTTTACAGAGTCTAAGCTGGCGGCTATCAACCCTGAGTACCAGAATACCGATGGATGGAAAAAATAGGCACATTCAGTCCCCACCCCTGGACATTTGGGCTTAGTCTTACAATGACCCTGGTAACTAAAAAAAAAAAAAAAAAAAAAAAATTACTAGAACCCCCCTGTCAGGGACTGTAGTTGTCAACATGGCAAAGGCGGATACCCTCCGACCCGGCAATTCTGCTGCTAGTTTATTCTGCAGACTGATGCACGTGTGTGAGTGTGCAGTGCTCTTTTAGAAAGATTGGAAGCTACCTGTCCACCAGTGGGGCCTGGACAAACGTGAACAAATTACACTCGATGGTCGACCAGGGTTCCTCAGTCTTGGCACTATTGACATCTGGGGCTGGAAAATTCTTTGGTATCGGGTGCCGTCCTATGCATTGTAGGGTATTTAGCAGCGTCCCTGGGGCCTACTGGATGGCAGTAGCACCCACCCAGTTGCGACAACCAAAAATGTCTCCAGTGAGTGCCAAATATCCCTGGGGGCCAAAATCACCCCTGGTTGAGACCCACTGTCTTTTATACCGGTGTGAAGTCATGTCCAGGGTATTCTAAGGAAAGAAAGGTATGGGATAGCATGTGTATGACACGCTGCCATTTATGTAGAAAGAGAACAGAAATATATCTGTACTTTTTACATGATTGCGTGTATATTTATAAATTACTTCAGGAAAGACACCCAGGAAACTACCAACACTGGTCACCCCAGGGGGAAGACAACCAAAGGTGATGCGGGGAGGGGGATTCCTCAGCACACATGCTTTTATACTCTCTGAGAATAAACTCTAATAGTTCTAATGGGCAGCCAGGTTGGAGAACCACTGCTCTAAACCAACATTATCGTGTCTGGTCATTTTTCTCAGCGATCTGGAAACGGAGTTCATGTAGATTCTATAAACCGACTTGATGGTTTCTTAGCAAACCATAGTGAAATGTGTAGAAAGCAGCCCAGTCAGATGTACTTGAGTGCCCTGTTAGGAAATGGTACCTCTCTCAATCCGTGAGCGCGCAGTCTTGCACTCTGGGTGCTCCGTGAGTGGAGAGAAAACATTATTTGGGTAACCCCCCAACTTGCCAGTTGCAGACAGGGCATGTGGCTCTCCGTCTCCACTGCAGCCTCATGAGTCAGCCAGACATTTGGTCCCCAAGCCATCTTTTCACCCACCGCCATTGCTTTGGCAAGTCTACCCTACCCACCATCTGGCATCCCCTAGGGTTCCGCACATCACACTCAATCCGCTTTGGGACATTTGTCTTTTTCGCAGGGGACTAAGTATTTGACACAGTGAATGCTGAAACAAGATGCCAAGAAAAAAAGAATCCACACGAAATGTTGCAATGTCTCATCCTTAGCAACTTTGTTTGGTTAGTACTGCATAACTCATAGCAGATTCCAAGGCACTGGCCTTGAACATTGCTACATGCTCTAGGCATTATCAGTAACAAGGTGCAATAGAGAACCACAGGCTCTTGCAAACTTGTCTCCAGTTTCTGGGCAGGAGGACTGTCCTCCCTATTTTCTGTTTGCTTTGTGCCTAAGCTGGGCCAGCTCACCCTGTGACTTTGGAAGCCCTGCCTGTCTAGTCGATGCGTCCTATATATTATGCTACCACCATGACAATGTCATGAACGTAACTAATGAAGACCTACCACTTCCCTGCCTCCCATTTAAGTATGACAAATGTCATCATAAAAGCTCTACACAAATAATTTCATACAAAGCAAGTCAAACAGCAGTTATAGTGGCATGTGATGTATCTGGCGAAGCTTGCGTTACTGAAGTTAATGCAAAAGTCAGCTTCCGCTCGTGGTCTTATTAAATATATATCCTAAGGGATCAGAGTCATCTATTAGAAACGGTGATAGCCCTGGTATAAATAAACGTTTCTTTAGAGTTTGGCATCAGTTTTTTGACGTGCTCCCTCAAAGCAGACAGTTTGTTGGAGGGATCAGGTTTGAGGGTGTGACACCCAAGGCGGCCAGGTTCTGTTGCAGGCGCTGGTGGTTCAGGTCCAAGGACAGAGGCGGGTCACGGTCACAGGTGCTGCAGGGCCTCCTGTCCTTGTTCCGTGTAACCGTCGTCGCGGTGGCAGTTGGCCCACTGGCCAAAGGACTCGTGGATGCGCACGTTTCTCTGCGTGTTGACCAGACGCTTCTTATCTCGGGAGAAGAAGCTAAACCTTTGAGAAGGGAAAGAAAGAAATAAGAGGCTGCCCTTGGCCATGCACGTCACAGTTTTTGCAATGCCAGCAGCAAACGTGAGGGAGCAAATCAACTCGAGGTGTGAAAGAAAAAGTTCGGGGTGCGGGTCAGAAAGCAGCAGGGCATTCTGCGTGTCATTGTCACAGTACCTTGGAGGTGACACAGTGTGAGCAGGGTGTGCACATAGGTGATGTATCTCCCGCCTTAAGCACTACTGAGGATTTCTTCTCATGACCAGTGGAAATAAAAAGCTACTGGAAACATACATTATGGGTTTCTTTACCTTAATGATGCACAGAAAGAAATACTTGAAAGCCATATGGTACGTAAGACGATTCGGATGTAAAGAGATGAATATTTTAAATTCAAGTAATTATTTCATGTGGATTGGGAAACTGGGTAAGTAGCACATCAAAGCCCAAATCTCATGGATATTACTACAGCTTAGGATGAGGTGAAAGCAGGTAGTTAAGAAAAATGAGGCCATTAAAATATGTATTAAGGAATAGCATACACGGTTCTCTGATTAGATGAACATTATGAATATAGTATGTGAATGAAATTTGGGAAATATTAATTCGGACAAGTGACAAGAACTGATTTAATGGTGATTAAAACTGATTTAGTTTAAAGGTGAAAGCCTTTAGAAGTTATCACAGTAACTATCTAGATAGCAACAGCTAAAGTAGACCAAGAGGTCTTTTCAAAACAGCTGTGACTATTGGTCGTTGATCAATCTGAGTGAACCATCTGATTGATGCCTAAAAGATGAAAGTAGAAATCTCAGGCCAAAAGCTGATAATGTGGCCCATTTAAAACAAAGTCAGCTTAAACTCCACCTAAACAGAGACTAGGACCCTGGCCAGTAGACCTGAGTTGGCCTATTTCGAGTGTTTCCCCAAAGCCCTCTCTAAGCTGCCAGCTGTCCTTCTGTACTCTCCGCCTCTAATTAAAGATTCTTTCTATTTTTACCAAGTTCCCCTACTCCTGAATTTTGGTTTCTGAACTTGGTAAGAAATATAGTAGCTCTGTTATGTTTTCCACGGGCAGGAATAGGAAGGAACCCCTGAAGAAGTCAAAGCTTCAGATCAACTATTTTTAGTTCCCTCTGTCCGTTTACCTATTCGTTTTTCGGTTTGTTTTTGTTTTTTAGTGCTGTGGCCTATGGAGTTCAGTTTTAATCACATCTGAGTGAAAATGATTTTCCTATTCTGTGGTTACTGGATCCTACAATAACTTCCTAGCAGGAATAAAGTGGTCTTTCATTGTAAAGCTGGGGCAAGCCAAGTTTGTCTAGAGAAATTCTCCCTACAAGCTAAAGTCTCTTTTTTCTGCAACCAATACGTGTACTGGCAAATGAAGGCATTCTTCTCATTCTGGGTTATTTGTGAGCTCTTTCCATAGGGTAATCAAAGCAATTAGCTGGCCAGAAAGACAGCAGCGCTCATCACTGTTACATGTCATGTCTACATGATTCAAGCAGGAAAGGCACTTGCCACTTCCTGTCCAAGGGGACACAGAAAGAATCGAGACAAAAGTCCCCTCCTCTGCTTTTCCTGTTTTAACAAGATCAAATGGCTTGCTGACTATGGCTTGGCAAAACAAAGCGGTTTAGAAAGCCAGGGTGTGAAGATCAAAAACACAGCGTTAGTGTCACTTGGGGGGGGCGCAGGGATGGGTCATGGTGGGCGTTGATTACTGACCCGTCACTTAAAGGACCTTCTTTACTGGATCATGGACAAGGTGGTTTTAGAATGGAAACAGAAAAGACAGAAAGAATTATTGGTGACAGAGCGGAGAATTCCGAGGCTTCACTCGTGCATATGCAGCGTCATGAGCCGCACGTTTGAAATCGCACTCCACACCCACTTCAAATGGGAACACGCAGGTGATGGCCATGCAGCTAAAGGGGCCAGAGGAGACAGGCCAGCCCCAGCAGTAGCTGCAGCAGACATTCCAAAGGCACAGCTCAAAAGGAAACCAGAAAAATGCAGTGCCTACGAGGGACACAAGTCGTCGGACAGGCTGCAGTGTGGGGTCATCTATTATCAGTCCGGCTGCTACCATGGGCATTATGGCTGTAAACATCCTGGTTAGAAAAGTACAGATAGACACAGAGAAGATAAAAACAGGGGCGGCATGAAAAAGAAACACACTCCACAGACAGGTCAGCCGAAGGGTTTGCTTATGGTTGATGTGGAATTATGGCCCCCAACGCCCCCCATTCATATTTTGAAAAGTCCTAACTCCCAGGAGCTCAGAATGTCACCTTATTTATTTATTGAATGTCACCTTATTTAGAAATAGAATCCTTATAGATGTAACTAGTTTTGGTGAGGTCATACCAGAGTAGGGCGGCCCTAATCCAATACAACTGGTGTCCTTATAAAAGGGGGAAATTTGGACACAGACACGCACACAGGAAGAAGGCCATGTGAAGATGGAGGCAGAGTTTGGGGTGATGCTTCTACAAGTGAACAAAGGCCAAAGATTGTCAGCAAACCACTAGAAGCTTGGAGAGAAGCGTGGAGCAGATTCTCTCTCATGGCCCTCAGAAGGAATTGACCCTGCCAACACCTCGATCTTGGACTTGTAGCTTCTAGGAACTGTGAGACTATACATCTCTATTGTTTTTTGTATTTTTTTGGACATGCCACTTGGCTTGTGGGATCTTAGTTCCCTGACCAGGGATTGAACCCGGGCCCTCAGCAGTGAAAGCGTGAAGTCCTAACCACTGGACCGCCAGGGAAGTCCCTATCTCTGTTGTTTAAGCCAACTCAGTTTTTGGTACAACAGCCCTAGCAAACGGATACAGCGTGTGATAACCACGTAGGGAAGACAGGGTGGCCTCAAGGGCTGAAAACGCAG